ATCATGGGTGATGAATCTCAGAATTCACCCAAGGCAAGGAGTGGCTCTGTGTGTTCTAATCAGACCTAGGCCTGATGGTTCATGGTTCTATATTTCTGGTGGGCCTAATGAATCCATCATTCTTGCCTTCATGGTAAATCTAGAGCCCAGACAGAATGCAGATCTCAAAGATTGCTATGGTCAAAATAGTGTTAGAGAACTAGGTACAGATCCTCAGGCCCATCTGGGGAAATCTCCATGGAAGAAGACAGGAAAGAGGGCATAGAGCACATGGTAACCTCAGCTGCCTGACACCCTTTATGTTCTGAGATACACAGCAGTCCCAACAGCAGGTGGAATGACCTGGAAAATTCCAGACCTCATTGCTGGGGTGAGGATGGTTATTCTGCCCCTCATTCATGGATTCCCCAAACCTTGTTCACCCTTCATTCTCATTCCAGGATTGGCCTAACAACCAAAATCTGACACCCAGCACTCTGGAATGGCACAAATGCTACCATGAAAAACCTCCCACTGGTTTACTTCATCCCTTGGTTAACAGACTGTTTTCCTTCTAGGCTGGGGAGACTCTGTCAGGCGGCTGGCAAATTACCCCGTGACAGCCTGGGTCTGTTCAGAGAGCTGAAGTGGGCCAGAGGTTCTCCACTTGAGATAGGAGGTGAGCACTTCCCCAGGGGCTGTGGGGTGACCACAGGTAGCCCACTGACCAGTCCTCTCTGCCTCCCTCTAATACCCAGGCCCAGGTGTCCCTGGCCCAAATACCATCCACCTGGCTTGAGGGAGGAAGATAAAAATTGGCTCCCATTTTGGTCTTTACTTCTGAATAAACACACCAGTCCCAATGTAAATGAAGAAAGAATGTTAGAGAAATGGTTTTATCCCATCTCAAGGTCAGAGTGGGTGGCTGGAGTGTGGGGGGTAGACAGCCCATTGGATACAGCTGAGTCCTCACAGTCTGCTTCAGGGAGAGCTGGGGTGCATCAGGGATGGGCTGCCTGACCCACAAGAAAAGGCTGGCTTCCATGTTGCAGGTAAATGGAGAAGACCGTGGGTTACCCGGGGCCTGGGAGAAGGCAGGGAGCAGTAAAGTGCAGGGATGCAATTCTTCCTTGGTCATTACACTTTGAAGAGTCCTGGTGAGATTTCACCTTCTGAGGACTCACACAGACAGCTTGGGGTTAGTTCCTCCTTGACCTAATGGAAGGAAGGTGGGAAGCAGAGGCTGAGACTTTTCTTGGCACTTTTCTTTTGAGCCTTAAGGTCTTCCACCCTCCCTGAGTATATGAAAAATGAGGGCTTGTACCCAGCATGACTAAACAGGCGCAAGGTACTGACTTTGCTTTCTACCCCAAAGATGGAGGGGCTCAGGCCAGAGCACTGATTTTAGGTGTGGTCAGCTGGGGTTCCTTCCCCGCCTGAACCCAGCCTGGTCTGCAGAATGGCAGAAAAGACACATCACTGGAGACATTTGTATGTAGGGTAGACAAAGGCAGCAGCAGAATCCAAAAGGTTGTATAGCATCTCAGCATGCCAAAAATTTCTTTGGCATGGATTATTGTTCCTTCCATTCTTGACCAAAACATTATAGCTTTCTCCACTATACAGGTTTTCCAAACTGAGGATCAAAAGTTGTTTATTTAGTTTAGCTCTTTGTTACAGAGCTTATGGGGCAGAAATGGGTCTCAAATTTCAAATCTTCTGACCTCAGAACTACAACTCCCTTCACACCACAGCCCACACTCGGCCATTCTGCGGCTGGCTGGCTGCCACAGGACGGGAGGCTGAGAGGGTAGCTAGAGCTAGGAAAGACAACGCCCATGCAAGTAGGGGAGTGAGGCTGGGAGAGGAAGGCAAAGGGCACGGACCCCTGGAGAGTTGAGATGAAAAGGGCAGCTCTGCCAGAATTCACAGACATGAGGGTCTCTCAGCTCTCCAGTGCCAATCTAGATGGGACAGGGGTCAGACAGTTGTCCATTGTTGGCTAAGCGGGAAAGAAGGGGTGAGAGGTCCAGGCAAGGATAAGTAGGGGGGAGGGGCAGAATCAGAAGAATCTGGTTGCAATGACATAGCTGTCCAGGTCCTGGGCGTGGGTCCAGCCCACCCACCATCCACATATAGAGGGAAAGGAGCAGAGTGCTGGGGTAGGGCTCCCCATGGAGTGTCCTTGTGGGCCCTCTACCTTGTGAAGCCAGGAGGAGGCAAGTAGGGCACAACTAGGAGTTGCGGGCATTTTCAGGATCCAAGTGTTTGTCTTGTCTGCCTTGAGGCTCTAGTTCCTTCCTGTAGGAAGGCAAAGACTCCTGACCCTCCTCTCCCATGTAGGAGTAGAGGTGCATTGGGAAATCTCGGCTGTGTCTATACCTGCATTTCAAGGCTTAGTGAAGGGAGAAAGGACTGGCTTCCCCATCAATACTGGAGGCTTCGGGGCACAGCCCCATTCATCAGATCCACTTGTCTCTTCCAAGTCTCCGTAAGGAGATGGCTGGAGGCTCAATGGGCAGAGCATGCTGAGGGTAAATGAGCCCCAGGACTTCCAGACAGTTCCAAAGTGCATTAATCAGTTACATCCAGTCCCCTTGGGAGGGAGACTGTTGCACAGAAGGGTGAGAAGCTTCCAGAAAATGTCATGGAATCTAGATTGGCCTTGAACCAGCTAGGGAAAGGAGAAGTCATGAGGATAGGACTCAAGACTCTTTCCCCTTTTGGTTGTGAGGCAGCATGAATAGGAAAGCTCTTTTCAGAACACAAAGGACAATCCAAACAGGGACGAGGAAACTCATATTATTTACAGAACACTATGGGAAGCATCACATATTTTTCATATGTATTATTCCTCAAAGCTTGACCCATCCCTGTGACATAGGGATTAGACGATCCATTTTACAGCTGAGAAAAAACTGAGACACGCAAAGGTTAAGTAGTCTGCTATACGTCACACACTATTTAAGGGAAGAGCTGGGTAAGCACACAATAAATGGAGCTGCTCCTAAGTTACTTGAGCAACAGCAAGGGACATTAGAATTTCAGTGAATTTTCTGGAAGGAATCATAATGCAAGCAATGTGGTTAAAAGAGTAAGCCTACATTAAAAAGTAGAAGCCATGGAGAAGTGCACTGAGCAAATATTTAGGGATGTCTCTGTGCCTGTCCTGATGCCTCACATGGTGAGAGAAGTCTTCTCTTAAGGTCCTGACAAACTATGCATTAAATAATTCCCAGGTCACTGTTATTTTTTGTTTGTGAAGTGTGGGGGTTGCATAGAAGGGAGGAGCAAGGCGGGCCCTGTGGAAGTACAGCTGCAGGGGACAGGTGGTTCCCTCCCCAGCCAGGGGAAGGGTACCGCACACCGCCTCCTTCAAGGGAGTTGAGCCTTTTTCCTGGTTTCGGTATCCTCAAACGTAAAATGGCTGTGCTATCTATCTACCTCAAAGGATTGTTCTGTTTGTAAATTAAAGAGCTTTATACAGTCACACAAATAACCTGTAGGAATTGAGAAGTCACCAAATCATGATGATTAATGTAATGGACCACTGATAACACTGTTATAAATTACAGGACATTAATGATCATTACATGCATATTAGGCCCCAAGTCTCAGGGCTGGAAAAGATCAGAAGTCTCCAAATAAGCCCTTCTCTACTCATCAATATCCCTGCCAGACGTTATTATTCTGATTACAAATTATTGTGTAGCTTTAAGTCATAAATCCTCCCAGGAAGAGAACACATGAGAATGTATTAACCTGCTCTGTGCTCCAGAGTTCATTACTTGATTGGGGCTCCAGGTTAGTACAGACTCCACCATTCCTGCTCCTTAAAAGACCCCAGAGCCATAACAGAATACAACTCTCAGGATCTTCTATAATCACAACTGGGGTTGAAAAACAGCCAGTCAGGGTCCCTGCTAGTCAGTCTTAGGAATGTCTGTTGTTCTCTAACCAAATCAGCTCTGGTCTGCATGGCACAGAAGGAAAATAAGGGGACAGGAGCACTGGGCTAGTCTGAGGTCTCAATAAGTGGATGTTGTGTTCTGTTGTGACTTTCACTGACAATTGAGAGGTCCAGAAAAGTTGCCCACCACCTCCCAGGTGCCCAGCACAGGCCCATGATAGGACACAAGCACTCTCTTCACACTCTAAGGACACCACCACCCTGCCACTAGTAATTTGTTCCCTAATAAGTCTCCCTTTACCCTCATTTGAGGGCTGGAAGAACAAAGTAATAAAAATAGTAACTAATAAAACTTCCAGGACCTCAATATGAATCACTATTTACCACCTCACATGCTTCTGAATGACCTGACATTCTGGGAGATACATTTGTTCCTTTAGTTCTTGCTCTACAACAATGTAAATGTTCAGAGAAAATTCTGCCAGCTGTCTATTAAACCCAATGGTTCCAGGGCCCTACCTAAATTAATGGGGAGCATCATTCTAAGGGGGAGGTGGGAAGACCAAGGACACCGTTTATAAACAGCCCTCCTCATTGCCCATCTCCTTCTAGCACAAACACAAATTACTCTGGTTTGGGAGGGAAGGAAAAACAAGATGCAGGTCTTTGTTTCTGAATCAGCACATCAACCACACATCTAGGCAGTAAAGAATGGCATAAGGCCTTTATTGAACTTTTCCACTCTTTCCTGAGGTAGGAGGGACTTCATTGGGGCCTGGGTGACAGACCAGGCTCCTTGAGCTCCACAGGCCTTTCACAGAAGGGAAGTTTTAAGGAAGAAAGATAATGAACAACAGAGGGAGAATACAGCCATGTGAAGAGCCAAGTTTCCACGTTGATGGTAAATGGAAAAACCTTTGGGTCAGAGCTGAGCTCCGGGACAGAAAGGAGAAAGAAGAGTGATGACAGGAGGGGGCTCACTTCCTCTTTACTGATGTTAAAGCTCATAGTAGGTTTCCAGCTCACAGCCCGCCCTCTCCATTAAGGAATCATGTGAACCTTGTCCTCCCAGGGAACCTGGACCTGTGAAGGCTGAATTTGTCTCTTGCTTCCTGAAGCTCGAATCTCCTCCCTAAGATAGAGTATAGGATATTCTAGGGTGTGGTGCAGGGACCCGGGAGTCCCAGGTCCTACGAGCAGATCCTTTTCCAGATAGCTAAAGCTCAGGCAAGGCTGGGAAGCCCGGGCAAGGTCCCATGGGACCAGTCCTTCTGAAGGGTGTCTTCCCAGCTCCTAGAAAAAGGCAGTGTGGACAGACAGACGGCCTCCACGCTTTGTTATAGCTTGCCTGATGATCACGGGCAGGGACCATTTCTGCAAAAGAAAATAAATCAGAAGATACCTGATACACAGACAGACAGCCAGCAGCAGGGAAAGCAGACAAAGTTAAAAACACAGTAAGTAATTGGTGGCACACCTGTTTTCAAAAGGCATTCACACAATCACTCCCACTCTCACAAGAACTCTGAATTGGGCGTTGTTATTATTATATTTTGTCACTTTTCAGGTGCCAAGACACGCTCACAAAGGGTAAGGTGTATTTCCCACCATCACACGGCCTAGACGGAAGCCCCTGGACTTGACAATGGTACCTTTGGACCCACTGCATCTTTGGTGCAGTGCCACCCACCCCAACCTTCACTGTCGCCACAGGGAGGGAGGGACCCTGAGACCGCGAAGGCGGCGGGCCAAGGAGGGAAGCCCCGCGCCCTGGGCGGGGCCAGGCCTGGGAGAGGCCGGCCAGGGGCACGTACTTGTCCTTGGAGTCCTGGGCTTTTTCTTGACCGCGCGGGAGACTGTCCTCCCTGGGATGGGAGGATGGAATCCTTCTTCCATGATAGAGACAAGTCAGAGGTGAAGGAGAACAGAGCGGAGAAGCGCAGGGCTGAGGCCCCGGCAAGCGGGGAAGAGCTCACAAGCGGCTTCGGAGCGGCCCGGGGCGCGCCAACCCAAAGCTCGGAAACCCACGCGGGGTAAGTCAAGGGTGCCCAGGCGCTCCACATCCCGGCCTCAAGGGGTTTCCTGCATCCTCAAGGCAGTTCTGAGCTTCCCGGGCCGTCCCCAACAACCGCTTTGTCACGGGGAAGTCAGCTTAGAGGACCGCACAGAAACAACCGGCTGGGACGCCGCCATCGGAAAAATAACTGCCAACGCCTTTCCCTCGCCGTTAGCCACACCCACCGCCCCGCCCCCCGCAGGCCTCCGCCAATCACCGGCACTGCCCCGCCCCCTGCCCCGCCTACTTGGTGGGAGGGGAGGAGCCCTGGGCCTTCCAGAAAGTTCCAGACCTCTGAGCGTCCCAGAGCAGCCTTCCTGGGCAGGAGTCGGGGCAGGGTGCTTCTGAGGAAGCTCCGAGTGGCGAGTTTGGCCTGCGGGGGAGGCTGGTGGGGCGGGGGCTGCGCAGGCGGGGCCTTGCGGACTGCGGGTCAGCCGTGGGGAGGCCTCTGTGGGGACGCGCCATGCTGGCGGTGGCTTCGCTGTGTGTTCACCGGGCCCCTGAACCACGGACACCCGCTATCCCCGAGTCCCCACCGCCCTTGATCCCAGCACGAGGTGGTGTCCGGAAGGCACGTGGTCTAAGGCGACACAGAGTTAGGGGCAGGGCTTCAAGTCAGACTCGCCTAATGCCAACTTCCGACCTTCTCCCACCAACCAAAAGCCTGTCACTTGAAAGAAACACTTGCAGTGCACCCAGAACCATCACTAGCTTCTTAGCCATAAATGCCCCTACTTTCTCCCGCCCAGCTTGCAGTGCCTGGAAGACCCTGCACCAAGGATTCAGCCAATGGGAGAGGGTTGCTGAGCAGCCGAGACTGCCCCTGACCAATGAGAAAGGGAGACTGTCTCAAAGACCACTTGAGGTTCCGCCCTCATGACCTAATCATTTCCCAAAGGCCCGCCTCTTAATACCTTCATCTTGGGGGTTTAGGATTTCAGCTGTGTGAATTTTTTGGGGGGAACACATATTTAATTCATAGGAAGTTCTTTACAGAGTATATGATTTACAAATAATTTCTCTCAATCTGTTGGTTGTTTTTCCACTTTTTAAATAGTGCATTTGATGCACAAAATGTTTAATTTTGATGAAGTCCAATTTATTTTTTCTTGCTTGTGTTTTTGGTGGATTCTCATGTCTAAGATTCGGTTGGGTAAGATTCTTACATCTAAGGATCCACTGCTAAATCCAAGGTCATGAAGATTTATACCTTTTTTGAAATATGAGTTGTTACAGTTTTAGTGCTTACATTTGGTCTTTTATCATTTAAAATTAATTTTTGTGTATGGTATGACTAGGAGTCTTAATTCTTCTGCATTGGATGTCTAGTTGTCCCAGCACCATTTATTGAAAATATTATTCTTACCCCACTGAATGATCTTGGAACCCTAGGCAAAATCAATTAACCATAGATGTATGAGTTTATTTCTGGACTCTAAGTTCTATTACATTTATTTATCTATGTGTCTATGCTTTGCATTTATTCATATGTAAGTTTTTGGCAGTTTGTGTTTTTCTAGGAATTTATCCATTTCATTTAGGTTATCAAATTTATTAGCATACAATTATTTACATTATTGCCTTATAATCCCTTTTATTTCTTTAAGTTTGATAGTGATGCCCCCTCTTTTATTACTGATTTTAGTAATATGAGTCTTCTTTTTGTGTTGTTTGTTTCTTGGTTAGTCTGAAGTTTTGTAAATTTTGTTGATTTTTTTTCAAAGAATCAATTTTGGGGTTTGTTCATTTTTTCTATTGTTTTTCTATTCTCTATTTCATTTATCTCCACTCTAATCTTTATTATTTCTTTGCTATGTTTGCTTTGGGTCTAGTTTGCTCTATTTTTCCCTAGTTCATCAAAGTATATAATTAGGTTATTGATTTGAGATACTTATTCTTTTTTAATGTAGATGTGTGCAACTAGGAGTTTCCCCTCCAAGCACTGCCTTCACTGCATCCCATACATTTTCATATGTTGTAGTTTTGTTTTAATTTATATCAGAGAATTTAAAAATTTCTCTTGCGATTTCTTCTTTGAGCCATTGGATTGTTTGAGTGTGTTGTTTAATTTCCACATATTTGTGAATTTGTCAGCTTTCCCTGTTATTGATTTATTTTGTGATTTCACTTGGTTACCTTTATTAAAAGTATTTATTAATAAGGAAAATGTTATCCTTTAAACATTGGCTATTATCATTTTCAGATTAGTCAAATCCTAAATTACTAACTCTGAGATACTGTATAAATCCATGAAAGCTGGAGTCATTTCTGTTTTATCCAAAATATTCCCAGGGTCTAGCAGATAATTTAAAATGTAGAAGGCTATAAGTAAATATTTTTAGGTATATGATTAAATTATTGAAAGTATGAACAAATCCAGGTTGTTCCCAAACATCAACAAAACATACAATGGGGATCATTCTTTTCTGGTGTTAACTTTTGTGCACAAATTTTATCTTTGAACAAGTTTAAAAAGTGATAACCTGCAATAGTTATTTTTCAGATAAAGGCTTTAATTTTATGAGGTGTGTTTCTTCTTTCTTCCCCCCCCCCATCCTTTCCCTCTCTTTTTTCTCTCTTCTTTTTTATTTTCTTTTATTTTTTCAATTTTAAATTTATTTTCTTTTTTAAAAAACATTTCATAATATTATGGGGATACAAACGTTTTGGTTACATACAATGACTTTGCATTGCCCAAGCCAGAGCTACAAGCATGCCCATCCCCCATACAGTGGGCTTTGCACCCATTAGTTATGAGTTTACCCATCCACTCCACCCCCCTCCCACTTGCCTGGCACCCAATGAGTATTACTTACATGTGAGCACCTACGTGTTCATCAGTTAGTATCAATTTGATGGTGAGCACCTGTGGTGCTTGTTTTTCCATTCTTGTGATACTTCACTTCAAAGGATTTTTACTTTTATTCTATTGTGATTGAATAAGATCCTTTGTATGATTCCATTATTTTTATACTTGCTGAAACTTGTGTTGCCAAACTTATGGTCTATACTGGAGAATGTTCCATGTGGACTTGAGAAGAATACATATACTGTTGTTTTTAGGTAGAGTGTTTTATGGATGTCTCTTTGCTCCAGTTGTTTTATAGTGTTGTTCAAGTCTTCTATTTCCTCGATGATCTCTTGTCTAGTTCTATCAATTATTAAAAGTGGTATACTGAGATATCCAAATATTATTATTGAACTATTTCTCCCTTCAACTTGACAGTTGTTATATCATATATTTTGGGGCTCTGATGTTAGGTACATATAGTATATAATTTTTATATATTCTTGATTGATTAACTCTTTCATTATTATATAATGATCTTTATGTCTTATAACCATTGTTGCCCTAAAGTCTATTTTGTCTTCTTTTTGGTTACTATTTTCATGGAATATATTTTTTCATCCTTTCACTTTCAACCTATTTCTATATTTGGATCTAAATTAAATATTTTGTAGACAGCATATCACTTTTTAATTCATTCTTCCAATTTCTGCCTTTTAATTTGACATTTTAATCCATTTACATTTAATGCAATTATTGATAAGTCAAGACTTTTGCCAATTTTCTGTTTTCTTTCTCTGCTTTCTATATTTTTGTTCTTCCATTTCTGCCTTTCTTTATGTTTAATATATATTTTCTAATGCATTCTTTTGATTTGTTTCTCATTTATTTTATTGTATTGTAGAGTTATTTTCTTAGTGGTTGTCTTGGAGATTACAGTTAACATTTTAATTTATAACAATATGGTTAGAATTAGTACCAACTTAGTCTCAAGTATATATGAAAACTTTGCTCCTATATAACTCCATCCCCTTTTATGTTATTGTCACAAATGACATCTTTTTACATTGTGTGCCCATAAACATAGATTTATATTTTTATAAAGTCTTATAAATTATATTTTAAAAAGGAGTTTCAAAAATATAGTAACACTGACTTTCATCTTTACCTATGTAGTTATCTTTACCAGTGTTATTTCTTCATGTGTATTTGTATTTTTTCTATTTTCTTTTCATTTCAACCTGATGGACATTGTTTAGCATTTTTTTTTTTTTTTAGGGCAGGTCAACTAGCCACAGATTCTTTTAACTTTTGCTTACCTAGGAATGTCTTAAATTTCTCCTTCATATTTTAACGATAGTTTTGCCAGACATATGATTACTGGTTTTTAGGGTTGTCTTTTTTTCTTTTAGCATTTTGGAGAACTTTTGGCCTCCATGATTTTTAATGAAAAGTCAGATATTAATTTTATCGAAGACACCTTGTGACAAGTCACTCTCTCTTCTACTTACAAGACTCTTTCTCTGTCTTTGTCTTTTAACCATTTGACTACAATAAGTCTTGGTGTTGATCTCTTTCAATTTATCCTACTTTCATTGAGCTTGTTGGATGTATAGATTTATGTCTTTCATCAAATTTGGGAAATTTTTGTCTGTTATTTCTTTAAATATTCTTTTTGCCTCTTCCTCTCTCTCCTCTCCTTCTGAGACTTTCATCATGCACATTTGGGTATGCTTGATGAAACCTGATTCCACAGGTTTCTAAAGCTTTGTTCATTTTTATTTATTTTTTCTTTCTATTCTTCAGACTGTATAATATCAATTTACCTATCTTCAAGTTCAATAGCTATTTTTTTTCTTTGCTCAAATTTGCTGTTAAACCTCCCTAGTGAATTTTCAATTCCTGTTATTGTGCTTTTCAACTCCAGAGTTTATTTTTAGTTCATTTTAATAATTTCTGTCTCTTTATTGTGTGTGTGCACATGTGTGTATAGCATGTATGTATGTTGTATATGTTTATATTTATTAATATTCCTCCATTCTCATGGTTCCCTTTAGTTCTATGTACATAGTTTTCTTTAGCTCTTTGAGTGTATTTAACATAGTTGAGTTAAAGTGCCAATGATAGGGCTTCCTTGAAGATATTTTCCTTTAATTTCTTTTTTCTCTATATATGGGCCATAGTTTTTTGTTTATTTGCATGACTCATATTTTGTTGTTGTGTTGTTGAAAACTGGACAGTTTGAACATTATAGTGTGGCAACTCTGGAACTCAGATTGTTTCCCCACCCCTACCTTCTTGGGGGTTGTTGGTGCTGTTAGTTGTATCTGCTGTTTGGTTGTATGTTTAGTGACTTTTATCAACTAAGGTTGTAAAGTATGCATAATGTCTTTTGTCATGTGTGGTCATTGAAGTCTCTGTTCCATTGGAAT